TTATTATTATTATTATTATTATTATTATTATTATTATTATTATTATTATTATTATTATTATTATTATTATTATTATTATTATTATTATTATTATTATTATTATTATTATTATTATTATTATTATTATTATTATTATTATTATTATTATTATTATTATTATTATTATTATTATTATTATTATTATTATTATTATTATTATTATTATTATTATTATTATTATTATTATTATTATTATTACAAGTTAATTAGAATTCATTTCACTTGTATGCTTTGGTTAATGTGGGAATTACCCATTATTGATTTTCAATTATTAACATTCACACATTTAATTAATATTCATTTTCGTTTTTGCATTTTGGTGTTATTATTTATAAATTAAGTAAAACTCATTTCACCAGTGTACTTTTATTAATGTATAAATTACCCATTATTAATTCTCAGTTAATTAACATTCGTGTTCATTTAATTGACATTCATATTCATTTATGCATTTCGGCATGATTAATTCTAATTATAAGTTATTTGAAATATCGCATTTAATAACACATTTTATTATTCATGTCCATATATATTAATTAACATCCAATTTTACTTAATGAAAAATAAATATCACATCAAGTGAGAATCATTTTTGGACAATATTAGCCCTACTATAATTCAATTATTTCAATAATACGTTAATTTTCTTTTTTTAACACATATTTAATCTATTTAACCATTTAGTCACCATCAATATACATGTATATTTGATAGATTCATTTCACCCGTGTACTTTCGTCAGTTTATGCATTTCCTATTATCAATTCTCTAATAATTAATATTCACACTCATTTAATTAATATTCATCTTCTTTTATGTATTTCTGCGTTATTAATTTCAATTATATGTTAATGAGAATTTCACATTCAAAAATGTATTTCATTATTCACGTCCATGTATATATACTAATTAACATCCAGTTTATTTAATTGGAAATTAAGTAAATTGATTTAACATTTATTACCACGTATGTATTCCTTGACATTAATTCTAAATTAATTAACATTCACGCATATTCAAATATAATTTTTATTGCACTTGTAAAGCATTTCATAGTTACGTGTAACTCACTTGCATGTTCAATGTTGATTAGCTAATAGAACGCTCCCCATTTTAAAATATACATATATTTGCCTTTCTTTTTTATAATATTTTTTTTGTAGTTAATGTTATTTAAAAAATAATTAAAGATTAAGAAATTTTTTTAATTAGTAATAATAATTAAAGATTACGAATTTTTTAATTAATTATATTAAGTAAATTAATTTATCAAAAAAAAAATCATCCATAAATAAAGTTAAAAACATATATAATAATTAAATACTAATAAAAATTTATGTTGAGAACAAATAAAAGTTAAAAGTACTTATAAGTTGGCCATATTAGAAGAAAAAATAAAAATATATTTTAACTTATGTGTCATTTTTTTAAAATTAAAATTTAGAAAGAATATTGATGACTTTTTGCTGATGACTGAAGCATCCTTGGTGATTCTCGACAACATTGACATCAACAATCATTGATGAATGTGTGTCGGTAATTACCAATGATTTTGTAGTCAAAATTCATACTAAAATAATTGAAGACTTCTCGTCAATGATTGAAGTGTAGTCCATAATCTTGGCGATATGATTTCATTTGAATTACTAATAGATATTAATTTAAATTAGAATCTAACCGTAATAATATCGTTGACAATTATTGACAAAGTTTCAATCGTGATCCTACTATTTTTTTTTAAATGCTATCTTGGCAGTTTGGAAAATAATATTCCAAAAATTATAATCTCAAACTATTATTATTATTATTATTATTATTATTATTATTATTATTATTATTATTATTATTATTATTATTATTTTCGGCGCTATACAAGGAACTTCCAAAATAAACAAAATTCCCGAAGTTGTATGAAAAATTTGAAATGTCCATTTTTTTTTTAATATTATTAACAATTCAGTTTATAATGAAAAAGATATTCTTTAAGATGAAGACGAAGTCATCTTAAGAATTATGTGAGATAATCAATTGTCTAAGACTCTTTTCAAGAGAATCTTTAAATACGAAATGATATTTGTTTAAAGAGCTAATATTTAAAAATAACTTTTTAAAATAAATAGTGTATTTGACTCTTTGAATTTAGAGAGTCAAACACACTTGCTTATTAATGTACAATGTTGCATGTTATAAGTCATAAATTCCAATAATTTTATCTATTTTATCTCTTAAACTTTTTAAATCACAATTAAAGTAATTGACCGTTGACATATTAAAAATTGTGTTAAATAGGATATAAAGAGAAATCAACAAATGTTTCTTGAAAAATGCAAAATTAAGAGCTCAAATAGAGAGTATTATTGGAGTGTATAAACATTTTGACTCTCTAAACTTGAAGACGTTTTTTATAATGAATAATGTTATTTAGTAACACTGAGGTTATAGTTATAACTTCAGTCTTGACGTTAATGTGACATTAAATAGTAAATATAACAAAATTAGTAATTTGATTCTACATTTTATTTAATTTATCACCTATTATCATATAAAATGTGGTTATAACCCCAATGAGATTAAATAAAATTAATGTATAAGACATTATTTAAAAATAAAGACTCTCTTAAAGGTGTTCTAAAGTCTCTAATTAATAGAAGGCTCCCCATTTCAAAATATAGATATATTTGCCTTTATTTTTTTTATAATTTTTTTGTAGTTAATATTATTTAATTTAAAGATTATGACTTTTTTAATTAGTCATAATAATCAAAGATTGCAACGTATTTTTAATTAATTATATTAATAAATTACTTTTAACAGATTTAATTTATCATAAAAAAATCATCCATAAATGAAGTAAAATATAAAAATTAAATACCAGTAGAAAATTATGTCGAGAACAAAATAAAAGTTAAAATTACTTATAAGTTGGCCATATTAGAAGAAAAAAGAAAAAAAATATTTTTATCTTATGTGCCATTCTCTTTTAAAACTTAATATTTAGAAAGAATATTGATGACTTCAGTGATCCTCAATGATTCTCGACAACATCGACATCAACAATCATCGACGAATGTGTGTCGATGATTACCAATGATTTTGTAATCGAAATTTGTACTAAAATAATTGAAGACTCACGTCAATGATTGAAGTGTTATTGGTAATTCTGGCGATATAATTTCGTTTGAATTACCAATAGATGTTAATTTAAATTATAATCAAACAGTAATAATGTTGTTGACGATCATAGATAAAGTTTCAATCGTGATCCTACTATTTTGTTTAATAAATGTTCTTGAAAATGCTATCTTGGCAATTTGAAAATAATATTCCAAAAATTATAATCTCAAATAATGGGGTGGGGTGCCAAACGGGGGCTATATAAGGAAATTCCAAAATAAACAAAATTCACGAAGTTGTATGAAAAATTGCAATCTCCATTTTCTAATATTATTCAAAATTCAGTTTATATTGAAAAAGATATTCTTTAAAAATGAAGACAAAGTCATCTTGAGAATTAGGTTAGATAATCAATTGTCTTAAAATATATTCAAGAGACTCTTTAAATATAAAATGATTTTTATTTAAAAATCTCGTACTTAAAAATAAGTTTCAAGAGATTGTATTTTAACTTTTTAAAATAAAGAGTATATTTGTCTCTCAGAATTTAGAGAGCCAAACTCGCTTATTAATGTACAATAATTGCATTTAACAAGTTATAGATTTCAACGTTTCATCTATTTTATCTCTTAAAATATTCAGATAACAATTAAAGTAATTGACTACTGACATATTAAAAATTGTGTTAAATAGGATATAATGAGAAATAAAAAAAAAAATCTTGGAAAAAGCAAAATTAAGAGCTCAAATAGAAAGTATTGTTGGAGTGCATAAACATTCCGACTCTCCAAATTTAAAGATTTTTTTTTTTTTTAATGAGTGATACTATTTAGCCACACTGAGGTCACAACACCAATCTTGACATTAATGTGATATTAAATAATAAGTATCACAAAATTAGTAATTTGATTCTACCTTTCATTTAGAGGGTGTTTTGAAGACATTTTTATGTAAAAATGCATTTTTGAATTGTAAATTGATGGGAAATGTGTAGTTGAAAAACAAGGAGAAATTTTTGATTTACGTGTAATATTATTTTAATAAAGAATGTGTGGTTGAAAAGAAAAAAAGAGAAAAATGCATTTTGAAAAAAATGGATACCAAACGGGGCCTTAATTTATTGCCTAACACCACATAAAATGTAGTTATAACCCCAGTGAAAATTAAATAAAATTAATGTATAAGACATTATTTAAAAATAAAAAGGTGCTCTAAAGTCTCTAATTAATAGGAGGCTTCCCATTTCAAAATATACATATATTTGCCTTTATTTTTTTATAATTTTTTTGTAGTTAATATTATTTAAAAATAATTAAAGATTATGAAATATTTTTTAATTAGTAATAATAATCAAAGATTGCAAAATATTTTTTATTAATTATATTAACGAATTATATATATATATATATATATATAATTCGTTAATATAATTAACGAATTAAAATTACTTATAAGTTGTGTGTGTGTGTGTGTGTGTGGAGAACAAAATAAAATTTAAAATTACTTATAAGTTGTCCATATTAGAAGAAAAAAATAAAAACATATTTTAACTTATGTGCCATTCTTTTTTAAAAACTAAAATTTAGAAAGAATAATGACAACTTCTTGCCGACGACTAAAGCATCCTCAGTGATTCTCGATAACATTGACATCAACAATCATCGATGAATGTGTGTCGATATTACCAATGATCTTAAAGTCGAAATTCATACTAAAATAATTAAAGACTTCTCATCAATGATTGAAGTGCTATTGGCAATCATGATGATATAATTCCTTTGAATTATCAATATGTATTGATTTCAATTAGAATTTAATCATAATAATACCTTTGACGATCATCGACAAAGTTTCAATCAGTGATCCTACTATTTCCCTTTTTTTTTTTTTTTTAAATAATTGTTCTTGAAAATGCTATCTTGGTTGGCTTAATGCCTTCAAATTGCTTGAGCTACCTCTAAATGGAGACACTATTAAAGATGCTCTAGACATGACTGAAAATGAAAATATTATAATCTTAATCGTCGTGGTCCTCCCTAATCAAGAAGGAAAACTAGCTATATTTTGGATTTGATAGATATTTATTGAAAATTAATAATAAAAATGTACCTATTAATTATGTTTCGATAAAAAATGCTTCAAAATTTGCAAATCTGAAAGATCTGGGACCTAGATGCTCAAGTAAAAGGTTATAATCCTCGTCTCTACTGTATTCAGTAAGTTGGGGACATCTGCTACAATTGAAGAAAGCCTACAACTTCTGCTAATATACCTGCAAAACGGGTCGGCTGTTGGCTAGAATTTGGACTTGTTTTCCGATGGCATACAAATCGGTGTTCGATTTTTCCGTGGTAAAATCGGAATTCGAAAACGCCGGCCTCAAACCTCACTTCATCCCCCTCATCTGGAAGCACGTTTTACAAAACCCTAATTGCCAGTGGGATGAAATTCCATCATTGCCTTCCGCAGCTTACCCTTTGCTCAACTCGAAATTCATATCCTGCACTTCCACTCTCCATTCAGTCATTAATTCGAATGACACAGTCACCACCAAGCTCCTCGTCAAATTACAGGTAACCTTTTATTATCTGCATTTGTCTTTATAAATTAAAATTATTCCAATTTTGGAGTTTTTATCATGTTTAATTTAATTTATCATAACTGAGTTTGGTGAATTGGAACAATGTCCATTCATTTCAATTTTGGTTTATGGTGAACATACTAATGTTAGTTATTTGGCTCAACTCCCTCTGTATCCAATTTGAATGCGGTGGACAGACGAGTTAACCTTATTTTGATTAAAATAAACTTTCACTAGAGTCTGAACATGGTGAATTTCCATTGACAACAGTGTTTTATACATAAAAAATACCACTGCATTCAAGAAACTTTTTCATCTGTTTGACAAGGCTTTCAGTTTGGCCGGGAGTGGGTGGTTTGGGGCTGCTTAAATTAATATAGTGCGGGGGTGTGATGACCTTATGTAATACACAGTATTCTAGCCCTTGAACAACCTCTCGTGGGCATCAACGAAGGCTTGACTTTCAATATTACAAAGATCACCATACCTTTGTATCCGATTTTTTTATCAGTAGTGTCATTTCTTGATGCAGAGGCAGTGCAGAGCATACTCATGATACTACCCATAATTTGTTCTTACGACTCATTCTAATATTATCACAATCGTCCAAAAACTAAGTAAGAACGAAGAAAAATTTAGAAATTCATGGAGATAAGAATAAAAACTTCTTAACAAAGCTGAATTCGAGATGATCTACAATGAGGAAGCTCCTTATATAGACAAGGAGATCCTTTTTGTATGCCACTCAACACACTATCCTAATAATACAATCGAGACAGGGATAATAATACAACTGACGCAAGGACAATAATTTTGTAAGAAGATAAATGACTCACCACTACTTTTAATAAAGTAGCGTAATAATATAATCGACATAGGTATAATAATTTTGTATGATGACAAATTTAAGAAGCATCTTTTGAAAAGCAAGGAATCTGCTTTTTAAAAGCATGATTATTACAGACGGCAAATACTTTATATAAAATTGATTTTTCACGTAGGCTGCGTCATCAAGGTGTGTTAAGATTTGCTACTTAACGTGATGTGTTTGTTTCATCCAAATCAGCGGGAAGTCGTTTCCACCAGAACCAGTTGTTAGGATCAAGTTTTTTCTTCTAATTTTCTAAGATTATCTGGATCAATTTGATCAAAATCATATTGCTGTGTTTCGTACTCATATGGGTCTCAAGAGTCTTGAAAAAATACCTTCATTGTAATTTACTTCGGTATTTGAATAACATGATTTTGGATTGTTTAGATTAATTGGTCCTGGTTTATCTATATCCATTAATTTAGCATTATTTTTCATTTTTTCTTCAAAATCATTCCAAAGTTTTTGACGGAGTTGTTGCCCTTCTGGTGTTGTCTCTAGGTAATTGAATGTTTTTCCGAGGCACAAATGTGGTTGTCCAAGAAAAAAGTCGATTGTACAATGTAATGTCAATTTTTCAAGAGTCAAATCGATAGTGTCTAATTGGCTGCCCAAAGAGTTGGCATGTGCTTTCTCCGAATGCTTTAATATTTTGTTGAATTTTGAACGCATAATCTAGTGGAAATTTTCCAAAGGAGCATCATCTTCTATGTTTGGCCAAATTTAAGGAGGAATGTCTGATTGATTTTAGCCATTCTTCTTTGAAATTCTCGAAACTCTTTTGGATACTTTTCCAATCTGATGTAGATTGAAAGATTGAATTGCATATTCTTTGACATGGGAGAAATGCTCATATGAACATGTGTCTGTAAGATAACCCTATCTTTGAAAGATCAGGATTACAAAAATGTTTTGTTGGGAAGTTCTGAAGTCTTTAAACTTCAAAGAGAATGCTTCAACCATTTCTATCCAATAAGAAATAAGATAAAACTATTCGAAGAGAATTCTCCTCAAATTTGGCCGGACATAGAAGACGATTTCAAAATTCAATAGGATATTGAAACATTCAGAGAAAACACACGCTAACTCCATGAACAGCTGTTTGGATACTTTCTATCAAGCTTTTGGAAAATTGACATGACAAGTTGGAATCAGCTTTTTCATGGGCGACCACATCAGTGCCTTGGAGAAACATACAGATATCCAGAGACAACACTAGAAAGTCAACGACTCCATGAAAAACTTTAGAATGATTTTGAAGAAAAATGAAAAATAATGCTAAATCAAGACATAGATAAACTAGGACTAAGTAATTTAAACATTTCAAAATCAAGTTATTTAGAAACCGAAATAAATTATAATGACAGTGTTTTCCAGGACTCTCAAGGCCCATATGAATTTGAAACATAGCCACATGATTTTGAACCAACAGATTCGAGTTATCTTGAAAAAGTGGAAGAAAAACTTGATCCTAACAACTATCCCCGGTGGAAACAACAAGGACTTCCCTCTGATTCAGATGACCCAGACACACCAGGTCAAGCAGCAAATCTTGGTACACCGGATGACTCAGCCTACGTGAAAATTCACTTTTCTATAAAGTATTTGCTGTTTGTAATAATTGCACTTTTAAAAAGCAAATCCTTTGCTTTTCAAAAGATATTTTTTAAATTTGTCATCATATAAAATTATTGTATTTATATTAGTTTAATTATTACCCTACTTTATTAAAAGTAGTGGCGAGTCATTTATCTTCTTGCGAAATTATTGTCCTTGCGTTAGTTGTATTATTGTCATTGTATCAATTGTATTATTAGGGCAGTATGTTTAGTAGTATGCATGAAGGATCTCCTCATTTATGTAAGGAGCTTCCCTTTCTTATTGTAATCATCTCGAATCCAGCCTTGTTATTACAATAAAGAAGTTTTTTCTAATCTCCATGAATTTCTAAACTTTTCTTTGTTCTTCCTTAGTTTCTAGATGACCGTGATAATCTTAGGATGAGTAGTAAAAATAATATCTGAGTAGTATCATAAGTATGCTACTCTACATAAGAAAATGGCACTACTAATAAAAAGATCTGATACAGAGGATGGTGATCTTTGTAACACCAAAAGTCAAGCCACGTGTTAATGCCCAAGAGAGGCTGTTCAAGGGATAGAATACTGTCTATTATATAAGGTGGTCAGACCCCCGCACTATTGGTATGTGTGTACTATCCTTGTTGACATGCTTTCTTTGTCTTTAGTAGAATGGAGAATTCGTGGAGGCTGTCATAATGAGATATGATACACGTTTGGGAAAATATGATGGGAAGCCTCGTCCTGGTGGACCTAGGTCAACCTTGTGCATATCCTCACAGGTACTTTTTCTTTTTTACCCCTCTCAATGTTTGCATACAAAGGAGATGCATCTTCTTATGGTGACCTTTTAATTACTGTAAGTTCACATTTTTATGTGGTATTGTAAGTGATTACAAATTTCGTCTGACTTTGCGAAAGGTTGGATGCAAAATGGGTTGCAAGTTTTGTGCAACTGGAAGCATGGGATTCAAAAATAATCTCTCATCAGGTGAAATTGTGGAACAACTGGTGCATGCCTCTCGCATATCAGCTATACGCAATGTTGTTTTTATGGTATAGCATTTCTCTTTCAACGACATAACTACCATACAGTACTTCAGAGTTTAGTTAATAAACCATTGTCCTTGGATTGTGATATAGCATGTTTGGTTTCATAGAACACCATGGACTCCAAGATTATAATATGTATGGATGTGTGTGTTTTCGTGTGTGTGTGTGTCTGAACTAGCATGTTTGTACTTCACCAACCCTGTCAAATTCGTAGAGGAAGTATTTCTTTTTGAAGGGAAGGCGATGTTTGATGAGGAACTTCCTTAAATTTTCAGGTCTGATTTTGTGACTAAAATTTGAAATTAGTAGTGACTGCTATATGAAGAACATAAAATGCGTATTGAGTAGAATAAATGTAATAAGGCACAATACTGGTGTTTGTGCTATTATCAAATAAAGTGAACTGATGTTGAAAGAAGATACTATTTGCATGACAGCGCATCCATGGAGCTGTTGAGGACAATTATGACGAGGCTGTCTCAAAGCTAGTTTGGAAGTTTTTATAAATAGTTTAATTTATAAATAAATAGAAATGGGTGGTGGATAAGTGAATAGTACCTGTGGGTCCCTCGAAATATGTGGACAAAAAATGATTTGATTGATTATAACCAATCAATCTGGTGGAGGTCGATACAATTGCAAGATATACTGTATCTCAACAATATTTTCCCTGATTAAGGAGTTCATCATTTTTGTAGCACTTGATCACTTCCAAGATTTCGTGAGAAATAAAGTTGATGTTTGTTACCTAATAATAGTCTTTTTCGGTTCAAATTAATCCTTGTGGAAATATGATGTAGAAAAAGATAGAAGTCCATTGTTAAGAAAATGTAAATATATCTACTTCTTTTCCTCCACTATTCATTTGTCACTACACCTGTGACAATAGTTACTCGTTGATTTTTATTTATTCATTTGAATTAATGTCTCATATCATGGTGATAAATATATCTATATCTATGTGTTTATATGCTTCAAACCTTTTAATTGTTACATTTTCTGTTTTATGCTGCTCCCTGATTCCCAAAAAATATTGGCTTGTTGTCTTTCGAGGATGAAACAAACAATTATTGTGGACAAGATTCTCGTCAAATTCTTCATTTTTTTGGGTAAAAAATTGCAAAATAATATTAAAAGGCTGAAGATAGTGCTATTGTGAGCTTTTTTGCTTTAAAGGAAGTGAATAATTATTGCCAATTACTTAAAAAATATTCTTAAAAAAATTTGATTTGAATTGTGGAAGTACAGGGCCACAGGGTGGTCTTTCTGGGGTGCTGAAAATTTTTCCATTGCGGTCTTTTTGGGTGTTGAATTTTTTATTTTTTATTTTTTTTTCAGTTTTAAAGATTTATTGGCTGAAGTGCTTTCTCTTCATCTCCATGATTATTCATTGTTGGTAGGGCATGGGAGAGCCATTGAACAACTATGCCTCAGTGGTGGAAGCTATTAGAGTCATGACAGCATCTCCTTTCCAGCTGTCACCAAAGAAAATTACAGTCTCAACGGTGCGGACTTCTCTGTTGCTTGCTAAGTTTGATATTCAAATTTATCACAAGTTTTCAAGAAATTGAATATTTGTAACATTAGTAAATGAAAGTTTTTCCAAATCTTCTTCCATATTGTACAAGTAAAAGCGTCCATTCATGTTTAGGAGCATGCAAATTTTTTTTCTTAGTTTTCAGCATCATGCCATTCACGAGTTATTTTACATGATTAAAAATATTGTGTTTAAATTTGTGCAGGTTGGCATTATCCATGCTATCAACAAGCTTCAGACCGATATACCGAACTTGAACCTAGCAGTTTCACTGCATGCACCAGTACAAGAAATTCGATGCCAAATAATGCCTGCAGCACGGGCTTTTCCTTTGGAAAGACTAATGAATACATTACGAGACTATCAAAATAACAGGTTTTTAGTGTGTCATTGTTTCTTTTAGTTGTTGAAAATAAGCATAGATCTATAGATTCCTGAATAGGGCCCTATGGTACACACTGTCATTGTTTACACATCATTCTTCTGTATTTTGCTCTTTGCAATTGTTTCTGCTTTATTTATGTATGTCTCTTTTGATCTTTGCTTTTTCATAGTCACAGTAGGTTGTCAGAATATCTCATTTGGTCTTCTTTGTAGTCATCAGAAAATCTTTATTGAGTACATAATGCTTGATGGGGTGAATGATGAGGAACAGCATGCTCACCAGCTTGGCAAATTGCTGGAGACATTACAAGTGGTGAGTTTTACATTGGAGATCAACTACCTTCATTTGCCAGGTTTAAATAGCCAATTCATTCCAACCTTAATCTCCATTTCTGCCATTTGTGGCAGGTTATAAACTTGATTCCGTTTAATCCAATTGGTACTCTGAGTCATTTCTCAACTAGCAATGATCAGAAAGTCACCAGATTCCAGAAAATACTTAGAGGTACATATAACATCCGTACAACAGTACGTAAGCAAATGGGCCAAGATATAAGTGGTGCCTGTGGTCAGCTAGTAGTTAGCCTGCCAGATAAAAGTTCCACTGGAAGTGCTGGACTCTTAACTGACATTGAAGATCTTCGTATTTAACTTAGGGAACCATTCAGGTCAGACCAGATGCCTATGGCATATGATCATATCTTTTATCTTATTTCCCCCATCAAATTAAGCACTTGTTTGATCCCCATTTTTTTCAAAATACATTTTTTTCTTTCTTATTTTCAATTACACATTCTTCAATAAGCCCTTGTTTGACACACATTATAATGAGAAATGTTGGTAAAATGTATTATGGAATAGTATTTTTTTGGGAGAATGTGTGGTTATAAAAAAAGGAGTTTTTTTTTTTTTTTTTTTTGGATGTAATATTATTTTATTGAAGAATGTATAATTGATAAAAAGAGGGGGATAAATTACAATTTAATGGAGAATAATGTAGGCCAAACAAGGGATTAATTAAGAAGGATCTCCGTGTGTGAATTATGTGAATACACTTTAATAATTACGCTTGTCTATGCATTCTAACCTAAAAAATGGGGCTCAAACATATGTTAAATTACCATTGATTTCAGGAAGCAATACTAATCTGTCATAGTTGTACGTCTTTTAATTTATCATCGTAAGTTAGAGTACTGTATTTATTTGGCCAAAGTTTCTTATTTTCTCTGTGCGTGGAAGCCAACTTGTTGAAAAAGAAATTTTATTGTGAGCTTATTGTCGCTCTTGTATTTTTCTTTGTGGGGGTGGGGAATATTTGAAATAATTAGGGGCTGTTCTCTTTACTGTTTTCAAGCCGTTATCTGTTTTCGATTTTTGCGTTCTCCTTCCCATTTTCGAAAATGACTTTTCGGAAAAAAAAAAAATTGTACTAAAAACACAAAACGTCAAAAAAGACGTTTTGTGCATTTTCAGTAGAAAACACAGTAAAATTGAAAACACGGGAAACATCCTCTTTTCCATTACTGTGCGTGAGAGCAGAGAAGCAACGAAGACCAGCTACCTTCTTCCTCAACAATCGACCACCACCCGCTACCTAGAACACCAGATTTCACAACCATTTGAACCCCCTCACCTCCCTCTTCAACATCGTCATCACCTGGCCACGGAGTTGCCCAAAACAGCCCCAATTACCACCCAAAACTGCTCTACCAGTCACGATTTCCGCCATATTTCCACTGTCGTCGGCCACCGTTTCGAGCGCGGACCACCACCACTCCACTCTTCCCAACCAGGCGCATCCAGTTCCACCATGGGTCACCTGCAATTTTGTCCACATTCGAGCGAGCTTGTGAAAGTAGTCTTGTGTGGCAGATTCGGTCCCAACAAAATTGATGAAATTTTGTTGATGCAAACAATCAATTTTGCTTTCCAAACATCAAGGTTGGTTTTTTGAATGGGTTGGGTCTAGTTTTTGCACATTTATTGAATTCCCCTTTTTTTCTTCAGGTAAATTGAAATATTGACTAATATGTATTTCATTATAATGCTCGTTGGGTTTTGATTATATTATGGTTTTTAAATAATGGGGTTTTCATGTTTTGTTAGATTATTGAGAGGTTTTGAAGGAAATCAAAGAAATATTCAGAAATTCGAAGGCATTTGGCTCCCAGTCTTTAAAGTCTACGCAGAGGAATGCTGATATTTTTGGTGTGACAAGACGAGAGTGAAACCAATCTTCAAAAATATAAAACGAGTTTATTTCTTAAACCGACTGGGAATGGTTCAAACGAGATATCATTATTTTTCCTCTCTCCTTCATGGTGTGTGATTTGTAGAAAGAATTCAGAAATCATTGATCACATATTGCTACATTGTGATTTTGCGGGATTGCTTTGGTGTAAACTTCTTGAGGAAGTTGGTTTTAATTGTGTTTTCCACTGGAAGTGTATTAGATTGCTCATTTAAAATATGATTAATTTGGTTAAGGATACAAGGGACATGATCATATGGAAATGAATAGTTTCGACTATATGTTCGTGATTTGGATAGAGAAACAATATGATCTTTGAATGAAAAGAGTTGGGAAGTTTATAAGTTATGGGAAAGATCTTGGACAAAAAAAAAATAATAATAATTTACTTCCATGTTCTATCAACTTTGTAGTCATGTCTTTGGGAATGATCTATGTAAATTGCTCTTGATCCAGAAATTACTTAGACCTTCTAACCTTTTGAATGGGTGATGTTATGAAGTCCATATAGATTTCATGTCCAGACAAGAATGCAGTTAAAACTTAACATCTAAGCACACTAAGCCTTTGGCTGAATATTATCGTTTATTAAGTTCTTACCTATTTCAACATTCTTCATTTTTTAAAACAAGTCCTCTCTTAGGCTTTTGAACTGCGTTACTTGATCTCCCATGAGAAGCCAGGAATGCTGTTCAAAACAGGATGCTTATTGCATAAGGCTTGTGTATAGCTTAATTTTCTGTGATATGTTTCTTATAAGTAGTAGGAAGCATGATCAATTTAATCTCTGATCATTCTGTTCATTATTTTGAATGGGTGTGTGCATCTTTTAATTAATGGGTTTTGGCTTAAATGTTTCAAAATTTTGAATTTATTGATAGTCAAACTTTATTCGTCTCCTGATTTAGTTTACACTTCTCCTAATCAGTCTTGAATCTGTTTGTGGCTCAAATCCAACCTGATAACTGATTCTGCAAGGTTCATTATATTCCAACCAGAAAGTTTGCCCAACTTATATTACAATAATAAAACCTCACTTTTCTTGCAAGGAAAAAGAGTTAAGTCTTTCTTTCCTTTTGCTGATCTCTTGTGCCCAACTAACATACAGCTGTACATAAAAACTGGATTGGGTGCATTAGACTTGTCTTTTTTCATTTTGTGCTGATCTTCAGCATGTTGATTGATGATTATTCTTTTTTTGTCAGATGGTGGTGACGATGGATTTGATGATGATTTTGACAAGATATAGCTTGGTAAGTGTAGCGTGTTACTTGCATCTGTGGCTCTGTGTGTGCGCACGCGTGTGTGGTGGGATGGGGCCTCTCTGGTGTTCTCAGAAATTTCATTTTGTTTTATTGAAATTTGCAAATGAAACCAACAAAAAGTTGTTGCCTCTTAACTTTCATTAGTTTTGTTGGCTTTATGAACTGATGTTTGATTACCAAATTCCAGTGGTAGAAAGAGCCAAATTTTGTGTATATAGTGGGATATGGTTAGGTTGCAGAAAGAACCAAATTTTGGTGATGTGCAATTTAATATAGATGGGATTGTTTCACATTTTACATACAAATGTATTATTTGCTTCTAAAGGACTATAGACTTTTGATGTAATTTGTACGCTAGAGGTTTCAATCAAGATAAGTTTTACGTTTCACGAACATGTTTCGTGTTATTGAATTTCGACTTTTGTTAGTGGTGGAAGTGAAAAATAATGACAAATGAAATTGGTTTTAAGAACTTCAAAGTTATATTTGGCTCATATTTATAACCATTCAAATCATTTTTCATCAACACTTTATTAAAGAATGTATGGTTGAAAATGAGTTATTTAATACATTTCATCAACATTCAAATCATTTTTCACTAACTTTAAAATTTATATGTTATTTAATACTATATTAACATTAAAATATTAAAATTTATTGAATAATCAGATTTTTGGAATAAAATATTATAAAAAAATATTCTCAAAATTTAAAAGTAAACGCGTTTTCCAATTTTATGTTTCCAGAAATCGATTTTCAGAATGACAAAAAGAACGAATTTTCAATAATTTTAAAACAGCCACTCAAAATACAAAACTCAAAATGAATTCAAAACTTAAAACTGCAAAACTGAAACATGAAGAAAACATTCCCTTATTGTTTCGTCGTTTTGTCTGATACTGCATGACTAAAAATATTGTCTTGATTTGGTTTTGTGTTGTTGAGAAGAAACGACATAGTAGTGGCACAATTTGGTGTAAAATTTTGATAATCAATGTGATTTCGTATATCTTACTATTTTACTCTTGTTTCGTTTGAGTTGGTCTGCTGCAGGTGTTTGGTCGCTCATAGAAGTCCACATCTAGTCCATATTATGATATTGATGGATTTCAAGTAACTTGCTGTATAATATGTAACGACAATATTCCAGCAGGATGCTGCATTTTCTCCTTATACTGATTCCACTTAGATTAAACATTTACTCTCACTCATAAAATGATAATCTCTAGTTTTCGGGGAAAAGCTACTGACATTTGAGCATCCAATAATTCTTGTTGGTACATTGTACGTGCCATGGTTATTGATCATACAGGCATAAGAGAAATTATAGAGCAATATTTTTTGCATTGAGGAGATTCAACTTTCAAGCATGCACTGTCATTAGCTTGCTGTTTGTAGAATCTACTATATGCTGAGTTAGTTTTGGAGTCGGGCCTTGCGCCAACAGACAATTTGAAAAGCTTTGTATTGATATTAATATCAGTTTCTACGTTGATGGGCAGACAACCAGACGACCTTGTTCTCTTGTGTGAACATTTTGATCCGTTTCAATCATCTGCCTAGCATACCCTTGGTGCTCCGTTTTGGGACAATGCCAAGAATTTTTGACTTCATACCTCCTGTAAATCATCTAGCGGGTATGTCAAAACTGTTGTTGGTATCCATTTTGATAGGTTGTTTTCAATTTATAATGAGTCAACTGATGGATTTACTTATAAGTAGATGAGTAAGTTTATTGATCAAAAGAGTTACTTTTGAAATAGATAGGCCTTAGATGACTTCATGTCAACTGCTGTGTCACAAACCAGGAAACAAATGAACAAGCTGAACTACACACGAGAAGCATCTGCATGCAAATCAAATAGGCGTAAGACTTAGTTACGAAGACGAGCAACCAAGCTTCCACACAAAGCACAAGCCAAAGCCAGAATATGCAAGCTTGGTATCTAAATTCTTCAATATATGTTAATGCTCAAAATGTATGTCATGGTCTGTAAGCACGATGTTTCATAAAATTGTACGGTTGTCTTGCTAGCAGTAGCCAAGTTAAATCATGTGAAAACACAGATTCTCACAGAGAATTACATCAGCAACCATAATTTCGACAGATTGATCACGAAGTTAAGAGTTCTTAGATTTTAGAAATATGATCTTCCTCATTCTTTGGGGTTGGACTCCTTTTGGCTTCATCGAAGATCATGCTTCCATTTCTCAACATGGATAAATATATATGTACAAACACATTGTGACAAAATGGATTATTCACTCTCATAAAAGAAGCGGACCCTACATGAATTTAAAAAATATTGGCTTATGGTCCCCACCCTCATTGTGAATGTAAATAAAAATTTTTGTACAAATTTGTGTGCACATCTAGCATGGTCCTTCTCAACATGGCCTCCAGTTAGGATAACCCAGCCTTGGAATATTTGTTCCACCGTACTTATCATTAGCTTCAAACTTCTCTTTCAAGGAAAAGTTACCTCTCAACACTTCCCCCCTTATTCTCTCCTCTACTAATGCTCTTTCACGTTTTCCAAAATGACGAAAGGTAAGGCCTCTCTTCTCCTTTTTCACTTCCCATGGCATGATCTTCAGGGTTCAGAATCCCAGGGTCAGCTACTGCTTTGTGAGTTTTCTTGGGAACTGCGGGAAACTTTTGCTCGCTAAAGGAAGGTCTTTTAACTCCAGGTACTTTGGGATCTGCCTCAATTCTGTAGTACCCATCATGCTGCCCGGTGTGGTTACCTTTCCCATTATCTTTAGTATTCAGGTCCTCCAGCTGTGCATCACTCTCCACGTTTTTATTTTTAATCCCATCATTTAGCTGCTCCTTTGCATCTCCCCACCATCCACGCTCTTCGCGAAAATATAAATTCAATAGTTATGATATGAGAATATAGCACCTTATTTAAGACAATTTTCTCGCAGCAATTGACGGTTCTAATTGTATAATTGGAAATGTCAAAGTGCTAAATGTAAGGCACTGTTAAGACAAGCTAAAGAAAGTGATGATTGGGTGTTCAATAATCTGGCTATAAAATTTTCCAGCATGCCTTTGCTTGCCAACTATCGAACAAAACACCAAAATTTACTTCCCTAGGAAGTACAACTTCAATTGAAGTGAATAACAGTCACAATTGAAGCATTCAGCATTATAAACTTACCAGTAGATGCCCTCCGACTGAAGCTTCGCCCAAATTGCCCAGCATTACCACAGCCATAATGCTGTCATAAGACATTCCTAATATTGTTATAGACAAGGAGGTATTTAAAGCCACCAGGCAGTACAAAAAAATCTCAATACACCAGCCTGGATAACAAGGTTGTAAATTGAGCAGTGTTTTGCCCTAATACTGAGAGATGCGTGCAAGGTTGTAAATTGAGCAGTGTTTTGCCCTAATACTGAGAGATGCGTGGATGATATTTATACATTATCCTATAAAATCTAATACACATAGATGCTTTAGTTGAGCAAGACGAAAAGGTATACAAATTAAATGGTTAGACTACATCAGGCTTTAACAAGGCAAGAATATACATCTTATTGACTACTAATTAATGAAAGCATGGAATATTTTCTTAGGTGACAAACCCCTTTTTGGCGAAGACATAACAAAGCTAGGTATCTGGCAGTAAATTCAGAGTCGGGTTCATAAAAATCGTGCTGCATCCATTTGCTATGTTCATTACTTCACGTAGTAGGAGATTATCTCCAAGAGATTTCTTAAAAATAAAATACTCTCTATTTTAAAGAGTCAATTTTTAAAATAATGCTTCAAGAGACTTTTCAAATTAACATTTTAAAATAGAGATTGAGTTTGGCTCCGACCCTCCAAATTTGAAGAGTCAAACCCACTCTCTGTAATTAAATGCATTCTAAATATTTCAATTTTCAATGCTCTATATATTAACCAAACTAAATGGGATATACAAAGTAAATGGAGGAAAAAAATATAATAATATGGAGAGAAGGTGGTGAAAATGAAAGATAGGAAAAAAAATAAATACGTGATGCTAATCGTGGTTATAATAACTGTGGCACGAACCGGGGTCGTAGCTATAACAGTGGTCACGGGAATGGCCACAACCATGGTCAAGGAAATGGTCGCAACACTAATCGCACAACATTTAACAGGATAAAGAATTCTCAGGGTAATTCAATGGTTCAACTCTGGTTCAAATGGTATCTGTAGTATATCTTTTATTTGTTGTTCACGAATCTTTTTCAGGTTTTCAGGCATACCTGGATACTGGAAATAGTAAAAGTAAGTGTTAAAAATAAAGATAATGTTGGAGTATTTAAAAATTTTACTCTCTAAATTGCAAAATATAGTTTTTAGAGAGTGTTGGAGATGCTCTAAAGTAGCTATATCAAGTCATGTTAATTTTGGTCTCTCTTCTCTATCGTGGTTGGTCACACCAAAGGTCCCTCACTCCCTCTAGACGTGTAACAAAAATATTTCAGGATAACCATAAATCCTATTACAGTGAGATTAGGCCACACGCTCTCCGAAGAGATTAATTAAAATTTTTACTGCCTGTTGACTCCGACGTCATATCAAAATTTCTCAAAAAGTCACCAGACGCTAGATAATGAAACTACTGGTCACCCTGGCAACAAAATCTTGATTAAGACATAGAAATACAGCAGCAACTAAATAGCAAAGTGATCACTGACACGAGAAAAACTTCTGAAAGACCAGGCATCCAAAAGATAATAAAGAAATAAGATATCAGTTCCTATAAAGCACAATCAGATGACAAGTTAGTAACGAAAAAAATTCCTATGTAACTAGAAGATCTCAGTTCTTTGACATATCACCTGAAAAAAAGATCTAGAGTGAGGTAATTTAGTTCGGTTTGAAGAATGTTTGGTGCCTTCACAGTATCGATCAGTTTTGTTTCTGGATTCTTTACTCACAACTCCGGTTACTACCTTAGAATCCTCCTTACCCAACAAGGCCTCAAGAGGTGATGCATTCTTCAGCTGAAGGCAGTCCTTACGATCCCTGTCCAAATAGTCTTTACCTATAACAGAACCAGCCGGCTGTCTTACAGTTTCCAGTTTACCATCCCTCCTAGATCTCTTAGGACTAGCAGAAAACAACAGAAGAATGAGTCTTGCTGTTAGATTCAAATTCAACTACTAGGAGTCAAGCACCAGAACTACAATCTTTAGAAGAAAAATTCATCATCAAAGAGTACAAGGCATCGGTGACACTGAAAGAGAAGTTAATAGTACAAAATAGACAAGTCTTATTCATTAGGGGTAACAATGGAACCCAAGGTTTTTGTACGAGCTGTATGAGGCAGAAACCCGTCCCATTTCTGTGCCAGCAAAAGAAAGAAATTATTGAAGCTTATGCCGTGAAATTACATATAACAAGCGCAATTCTGTTTATCTACATTCCGAGCGAAGCATCTCTATGTCTACGAATAACTGAAAGTTCCATCAATCCATATCTACTATTTCTTGATTAATTCGTCTTCTTTTGGTAAATTGTTTAACCAATTTCATCCATCCAGAATAAGAGTAAAATAGAAACTATCGTAGATATCTGCAGGAATTCCATATCCTTATTACTTACGAAACTCTAATACAAATCAAAATTCGGAAATTTCAAACCATTTTATATGCGATTAACTTCAAATAAAAAAATACAGCAGTTTACAAGTACCGGAAAAAAGAATATTTATATATTATTCACCTGGGATTACGGTCGAACCTAGAGTATTGGCGTTTCGAGTGTGAATAACGATCTTCCCTACCAGACATTAGGGTTAATTGATAGCACAAATATTTGAAGACGCTGCAGTCTATTACTTTGTCAAACTAAACTATAAGCTCTTGTTTGAGCCTCGATGATTTGGAAAAATTCATTTTTCATTAGTATTTTCACATTATTTTAATTCCACATTCTTGAATAAAATAATATTATACGTAAATTTAAATTTTTTTTTATTTTTTAATCACACATTTCTCATCAATACACTATTCAAAAATTCATTCTTCCCAAAAAAAGGAGGCTCAAACAAGGGCTAAGTAATTATTTTAGCGAGTTAATTGTTTCAATGGTTACTAAACTTAAGTCCATATCTTTAATTGACTATTGAACTTTAAAATATCGAGTTTTGATCACTAAATTTAGATCCATATCTTTGATTAGTCACTGAAATTTAAAATATTGAGTTTTGATCACTAAACTTTGAAAAATGTCGAGTTTTGATCACTAAACTTAGGCCCATATTTTCGATTGCTCACTGAAATTTAAAATGTCGAGTTTTGGCCACTGAATTTTGAAAAATGTTGTACATTACTTATTGAATTTTGAAAAATATTGTACATTACTCACTGAATTTTAAAAAATGTTGTACATTATTCACTGTAAACTCGATATTTTTCAAAATTGAACAGTTATACTAGTTAGTAAAGTATTGTATATTTCAAATTTCAGTGGCCAAAACTTGACATTTTAAATTTCAGTGAGCAATCTAAAATATGGACATAAGTTCAATGAGCAATTGAAAACATTGACCTAAATTCAGTGATCAAAACTCAATATTTTAAACTTCAGTGATCAATCAAACACATGGACCTAAGTTCAGTGACCAAAACTTGACAATTTTCAAAGTTCAATGACCAAAACTCGATATTTTAAAGTTCGGTGGCCAATCAAAGACATGACTTAAATTCAGTGACCATTGAAACAATTAACTCTATTTTAGCATATGTTTTAGCTCTTTATGTTGAAAATGAGCATCGCAAATTTTCAGGGATAAGTGGTTAAAAAATAAGGAAAATATTTGAATTTACATGCAAAATTAATTAAAAAGAAATTTTAAAATAATGAGAAATATATCATCTTTTCTCTTAATATCTATATTTACAACATACTTTATAATCTATACTACGAAGCTCCTATTTGAGCCATTTTTTCGAAAAAAATTTTAATTATACATAATTTTAATAAAACAATTTGACATGTAAATTAATCTTTTTTCTATTTTTTTAATCACAATTTTAAAAAAAAAATCACTTTTTTCAAATCTATTATAAAAAATAGGATTCAAATAAGACATGGTCACGCTGATGTGCATTGTAACTTTATAGATGAGACATTAGGGGCGGAGCCACCTGTATTCATTGACATTTGGGCCCATGCCTTTTTTCATTAATTGTAAGATTTGATGCAGATGAGCATACAATAACAAAAAAGCCACAAGACCAGGGCCAAAAATAGGCCAAAAAATCGAGGCGCCATGTTGGAGGGGCGGCTGTTAATATATTTAGACGCAGAGCAGCAGAAGCCGTAACTTGAATCTGCATCTTCAGTGGAATGTATATATCTTCTATCAAAGCTTTTCTTCTGTCTTCTTCTTCTTCTTCTTCATATTAATTTCTAGTGTCTTCTTCTTTTTACTCTGTTTAAGAAGGTTTTCATGTTAATTTATGTTTCGCATTGATCAGCTTGGTGAATAAAGATGTTGTGGATGATGCTGGTGAGGTCTAAAATGATTCCAAGATTTATTCGAATTTTAGTCTATAATTATTTAGCTACTTTACTGAAGTTTTTGATTCAAAGAAACAATTCTATGTTTCTACTTCATTTTTTAAATAAAATGTAATTTTTCTCAAACTTATTTATAATCTTATGTTCTTCCAATTAAACCTAAAATTTATCCTACATATTAGTTACATATTCTCTAAATAATAATAATAATAATAATAAATAAATAAATAAAAATCATTTTTTACAAAATTCTTTCTAAAAATAATGTTTAAACATGAGCTAAATGTGTGCAAGTTTACAATTTATTAAAGTTATAAAAGTAATTTTAAATAGTATGGGATGGTACAAAGATCTTTAGTTAAGTTTTATTGTTATCGATTCACGATAAGCGTAAACGTATCACATTTGATAATAAAAGGATAATTATGAGATGCACTTGTAGGAGTATGCTCAACAGTCAACACTAAATTCAAATACGTTTTATTTTTAATTTATGGTTTTAGAAGGATTGACAATTATATGTAAAAATTAGAGAGAATAGAAGAAAAATCAATTTTTTAATTCGATAGATAATGAGTAATAGTAGTCAACTGCAACCAAAATGATAGTAATGAAGCTTAAACTTATATAAAACAAAGCACAAATGAAATTTGTATTTTTTTTTTTTTTTAAAGGCTCCTTTAAGTTCATTTAACGTGAATACATTGAGAAGTTTCCACTTTTTCTTTTCTTCGAAACCCTTCTACAATTGAGGAAATAAAGGCAAAGGGCCATTTGAAATGTCCATTTTTTCACTTTGGCCTTTGACCAAGTAATAGCATTAAAAAATAATAATAAAAAATAAAACTTTGATAACAAAAACTTGAAAATGCCCCTAAAACTCAAGAAGGAAATTCACAGTCTGAAACAACTCCTTATAACCGTTTCTAACAGTCTTACCGACGACCCAACCGTCGACACCATCATTCAACCACACCGACGACACCACATTAAATGTTAGCTTTTTGTATTCATGAAATGGATTGAACTTGTATTCGAATGGAAATTTATTTATATTTATAGGTATAGATGCGTGGTTAGGTTAGAATGTGGAAGAATTTTTGTGGTTCTTAGCCTAATTTCAATGCTTAGACGTCGGAAATGGCGATTTTTTCGCCATTTTCGACAAATCGAGAAGGGTGAACAAGGCCGACTGTTAACAATTGGCTAGACTGCTAAATAGTAAACGATCGGCTCAAGACTGTTTGGACCCTTTTTTTCGTTTTATTAATTTAATATATTAATTATTTTTTAAATTGAAAATTAACGAATAAATTAATTTTTTTACATAAATTCATTTACATAAATTTAATCTTATATTAAAAATAAAATTTAATTATTTTATATTTATATTTATATTAAAAATTCATTTATAAATTTGTTAATTTAATTCTTTTTTTTCTTTTTTATAATTAAAAATTCAATTTTAAACAAATATTTAAATTTTTAATTGTAATTGAATAATATATTTATTATTTATATAATTTCCTTTTGTTTAATTTTAATTTTAATTTTAAATATTATTATTTTTCCTTTTGGTAATAGGGTAAAAAAAAATTCTTAATTGTTTTATTCTTATTATAATTTACTTATTAAAATATATTTTAATATTTTTTGCATTATTTTTATAGTTTTAATATTTTCTGAAATTAATTTGTTTAATTTAATATACATTTGTTAATTTGTATCTGTTTTTTTTATTTTTTCTTTATTTTTTATGTCTGTCATTTTTCTAAATCATTTGTTAGATGTTAATTAGATGAATCTACATGTTAACAATTTGGTTCGATTAATGTTCTGTTACTATATTTTATTCCATTGTTCATTGTACAATGTTCTAACATTCGATTTTTTACAGGATGGATTACCATCATATGCAGAGTTGAGGCAGGTACTAGGGAAAGCTACATGAAACAGTAGCTTCAACAATTTTACTACATTACTGGAGTTGTTGGATGATCAGCACGTGGATATCTTATCCTAATCCTTCTTTGGCCCCTGTATCAGTTGAGGGAGGTGCAGTACTCGGGGTAGATCATCGACGTACTACTATGTCGGTTGTTGAGTCCGATCGACGACGATGCCCTCCACTTCGACCTCGGGGCAAGATCTCCAGTTTCTCTATGTTTGAGTTTGTCCTGATTACTGGATTGAAGATTATGGGCAATGAGCCAGCTCTTGACAGTACTCAGAGAGGCAATAGGCTATACGACACTTACTTACATGGACAGGGACAATACTTCTATCGTAGCTGATTGAAGCGATGAGGGGGTGTGACCAGATGTTAGACAGACTAAAGCTAGGTCTAGTATACATCATTGAGTCTGTGGTACGGTCACCACAAGAAAACTGCGATCGAACTTTTCCATCTAGAGACCGTCGATGACATTGATGGTTTCAACAATTATCCATAGGGCCAGAGATGTTTTGAAGACACTGTAGACCTCTTCATCAGATTGCACTCAAAGCCCAAGGGGCCCATATGCAAGTACGATGCCTACGAATTGTCCCTGGTGGTGCAGGTTTTACATAATTAATGTCAAAATCTTTATACTATTGAATTTATATATAATATTTGTATGTATTGCAGATTTGGGCGTATGAATGTATTGCAGATTTGGGCATATCAGACTGTCTCCCTACTCGGTGCTCGTTTTGCAAAGCGACTGGAGACACGATGCCCTTGGAAGTATCACGAGCGGACAGGTGTCCGTCTGGGGGATAGTTATCGACTATCATCGACGACCCTCATATGAGTATTATGCACTTTGTAATTTATATTATATGTAGTTTAAAATCTCATTGCGCAATCGTTAATTGGTTGAAATGTCAATATGTCAGGTTGAAGTCATAACTGAGTTGACGCCATCGGTGGAGGAGGAGGGTCGAGGTCTGGTACGTGAAGTGCGTAAATTTCATATAATTTATTAATTATATTTTTTTATAAGTTAACAATTATTAATTAAGTTAATAATTTGTAATGTTAGGAGCACGGTCCAGTTGATTGACGATCACCCTACCAAGGGCATCTCCTCCGTTGAGGGCATTACTACCATCGATGGCACCACCTCCGCCGAGGGCATCACCTTCTCCCTCATCGAGACCCATCCCCCTTGGATCTCCTGTACACAGTCAGGGTCATGGGATCGATGATCTATATGCTAGCCTGACCGGATTCATAGCGGATATGGAACGATAGTTGATGGGGAGGGTCGACGCTTATCCTACGATGTTAGGCTGCTACGTGGTCACGTCGTATCCCTCCAGGATGAGGTTGCAGCGAGGGTGAAGGA